ACAGATCACAACTAGACATCCTCAACTGAGCTCTCCCAGGGGGTGCTTGGAAAGAGTGAGCAGGTGTATTGGAGTGGGTATGGGGGGGTTCTCTCTCCAATACACAGTGGCTAGTACATTTTCCTGCCCTCTGTCCCTGTCCCCACTTCCAGTCTGCTCTGATGGGACTCAAGTGATGAGCGCAGTCTTTCCTGGGCACTCTCCCTCTCTACCCACTCCCGCAACCCTGTCTTTGGAACGCAGTTGCCTGAATGTTGCCCCACCCGGGAAGGCTACAAGTTAAAACAACTCCAGCCCTGGAATGAAAGGCCTTTGTAGAAGCTGTTGCTGGCATCTGAGCTCAAGCAATTTAAAACCGGTCCCACCAGTGTGGCAAGGAGAGCAGTTGAAACTCCTCAGAGGTCTCTTGAGTGCTACGCGGGCACAAACTGCCCAGTTTCCTTTAAGGAGTCACAGGAAAGGTCAGTCTAGTCAAGTGACAGAGGAGAGACACCAAAGGGAACCATCACCAGATTGGATGTCTGAGCATATGCGGTGGGGAAATGCCATGCTGAGGTATACAGACACTGCTGGGCAAGAAAGAGGAGCAAGAAGGGCATTCTAGGAGCAGGGACAGTTTAAGTTGAGAGGAGGAGAGTGTGACAGAAAGATGGCTGAAGAAGCAGAAACTTTAGATATGTTTAAATGTCACAAAATTCCATTTCAGATACCCTAGGTTAAGACCATGGCTTAAGTCATAGGATGCCTTCCTAGCAAGTATGAAGTCATCAGTTCAAAACCCAGTACTGCCAAAAAAACAAAAAAAAAAGTCCTTAAAAAGATCATCCCAGAACTTAATATGGAATATTTATTAAGACAGAAAAAAGCCTCAAACATTTAAATATATCTCATAGAGATAAGAAACTTTTAAAGAAAACTATGATGACCTATTTCCCACCAATACTGAAATGCCAAGTTTATAAATATAACTCTCTGAATTAAAACAAAGTTATTGGTTGGAGGTGTGGCTCAAGCGGTAGAATGCCTGCTTTGCAAGCATGAAGCCCTGAGTTAAAACCCCAGTCCCACCAAAAACAAAAAAAGTAAATACAAAATAAAATATCTAAAACAATGACCTCTCTACTGTTAAAAAAAAAAAGCATTGCTCAAATATAGTACAGTTCACCTTCATAAAAGACTTCATCCAATAAGAGGACTGCTTAGTCCTCTTATTATTAAATCTATTCACAGTTACGGGGAAAGAAAGACTACAGGAGTAAGTAACAATTAAAAGGAAGAATAATTGAAGTTTATGGTACCGTTACTGTTGGACCCAGCAATTCTATAACAGGTATTTAGAAACTGCTTTTGTTGAAAAGCACTGACTCCTTCTTGGGCCCACGAATTAAAGGCAGGAGAAAAGCTTAGCATCCCTGCTTCCATTTTGTATCTGTCTTTACTCTGAACCATTCTCTCTGCAGTAATCTTGGAGTCACATTGTAATCCAGGAAGGACAGGTCTGACCCATAACATCTTTACAGTGAGCGATAAAACTATCCCCAAGGAAAGAATGAGCAGAGCCTTGCAGAACAGACCACCCACCAACTGAGGACAATTGCCTATTTGATTCCCTCCAGTGATGACAGTGATAACAATTTTCTGGAACCCTCACAGAACCCGAACTGAGATAATGATCCATCAGGCCACACTGTGACTGAGCCTCTTTAACTATGCACACCTCACACCCTGCCCTAACTCTTTCTCTATTGAAACCTAAAGCTCCTGTCTGTACCCCGAAGATGGGCTGAAATGCTTTTTCTGCCTCTTCCTGTGGTGTCTGTGCCATGTAATAAACTTCCTTTCTCTGCCCTTCACCACTGCTTTATTTGACATGTTGGGATGAGTGGGACCTGACATATGGAACCCCTGGAGTTTGGGTCTGGAGCCTAGAACTCTGTTTTCAATTTTACTCCTCCAAATATAGTCAAGAGAAATAAAAATTTTACAAAACCTTGAATACAGATGTCCATAGAAGCATTAGCTACAATAAGTGAGAAACAGCACACATGTCTATCACCTGCTGAATAGAACAATAAAATGTGGCATGTCCATACAATAGAATATTATTTGGCAATAAAAAGGAGAGGACTACTGATACATCATATAAAATGGGTAAATCTTGACAGCAGTGTAACAGAAGAAAGAAGCCAGCCACAAAGATCACATACTATGGGATTCCATTTATATGAAAACTACCAAATAGGTAAATTTATAAAGACAAACAGTAGATTAGTGTTTGCCACATTGGGGTGGGGGAGAATGGAAACAGGAGTGGCTTTCAATGGGGTGGGGGTGTTTTGGGGTGATGACAATGTGTTCAACATTGGTCATACCGGTGGTTGCATGACTCCGTGAATGTACTAAAAACATAGAATTATATCCTGAAATTGGCACATTTTATTGTATGTAAATTAGATCTCAATAAAATGTTTAAAGGAAAGTTGGTTGCATTAACTTAAAAAAAAAAAAAAGTATTGGACTTTTAGCTTTAACTAAACTGAGCCCAGCACTGACTGGATTGGACTATCAACACATCTGAACCTTTGACAGGGCCAGGCACAGTTGCTCAGATATGAAGGGCCCCACCTTCCAATAAGGAGGAAGAAGTGAAAAAATTGCCTTAACCCAGACTTTGGAGAAAGAACTGATTGATATTCAGTGACAAAATCCATGTGTACAAATTAAAGATGAGTTCAGGATGACAACTCTAGAGACCAGAGATTCACCTACAACTTCCTCTGAGTCAGCCGTCCAGCACTCGTTAACACTGGATGGGCCTGAGACACAAGCTGCCCTCTGTGGAAACACAGCCGCTACCAAACCAAGCAAAGCGACTTCCCTGCACAGGTTACTTCCATATTCTTATCCACAAAAAAAAGAATTCAGGTAGCAAACAAAGGATGTGATTTCCAGTGACAAAATATCAGGCCCAATTTGAAGCTGCCTCAAAATACACCACAAGATCTCTAATGACCTCCAGTGGTTACAACTGAAATTGCTCGGTTTATGGTCCAGGAGACACACACAACACACAGTGCTATTATAGGTTTCATCCATTATATTGTTATCTTGAAAGCTGAAAATTCAGAGCAAAGGAAGCATGGCAAATGGCTATCATGACAAGTCTTTCCTCCTGAGTTTTAGACATTGACTTAAGAGTCTGTTTCTTTTCGCAGCCTTGTTCTTCAGAGACAGGAGGCTGTTGGTCTCCTTCCAGTGACTCCATCAGGGAGAAACAGTGAGAACTCTGCTTAGTGCTCAGGAGTAAGAGGCCAATGGAGAAGAAAAGGAATGACTGCTCAAACCACACTCCAATGGCTCACTCCTTTAATCCTAGCTACTCAGAGACAGAGATCAGGAGGATCGTGGTTCAAAGCCAGCCCTGACAAATAGTTTGCAAGACCCTATTTCAAAAATACCTAACAAAGAGAGGGCTGGTGGAGTGGCTCAAGCCCCAGTACCACAAAAAAAAAAAAAAGATGGGCCAGGTGGGTGCCGGCGGCTCACACCTAGCTACTCAGGAGGCAGAGATCAAGACCCTATCTGGAAAACACCCATCACAAAAAAGGCCTGATGGAGTGGCTCAAGGTGTAGGCCCTGAGTTCAACCCCAGTACTGCAAGAAAAGAAAAAAAAAGTGATGGGCAGTGGAGGGAGGGACGTAAAGGAGAATGACGGCAGGACGAATTCAACTATGAGATTTTATTAGAACTTTTCTAAATGTCGCAATGTACCCCAATCCAACAATACTATAATTAAAAGAAAAAAGAGACAAAGAAAGGTGATGGACAGGAAAAAGTAGAACAAAGTGTGGGCAGAAGATAGCAAACTAAATCAAGCCGATCTGGCCATGTACAACCCACAGATACTTTTTGATATCTGCCTACGAAATCCTCAGGTAAGCCCCTCCACCAGCTCTAGTGAAAGCAGCCACCCCCAAATGATGACATGCCCAGGGTTTCACTAAAGACACATTAGTAAATAAGCCCAAACAACTTCAGAATCCCTATGCAGACTTGAATTCCCAGCTTTCTGAAGAGACAATATTCCAGGAGCAGCATTCTATTCTTACTTTCATGTTGACTGGGGACCACCAGAAATCCCCCACCACTGACCCAAGGCCATTTATTTGGGGATCAGTCCTGGGACCCACCCTTATAGGACCTGTTTCTGGCATGGCTGGATTCCTCAATCAGGTCCGAGCACACTGAAGGGCTCTCTAGAATATCTCAGTCGTCTTGGATCTTTCTAATCTCTCCAAAGAGAGCCTGTTTCTAACATTTAAACTGGCTAGTTAATAAGCCACTGTTTGCTCTGATAATGACCAATGTCTGATATTTTCTCTGCTAGTATCGGACCAGAACGAGGCAGTGTGACCTTTTCAAGCTGGAGCAAGTTTATGACAACTGATCAGAACACTAGTTGCCCCTGGGTATAATTTCAACTAACCAATGTCACCGTGTCTATCCTGAAAGGAAAAGGAAGAATCAGGATAGGGCTCCACTGGCAACATTGACCAATGCTGCACCTCTCGTCCATTCACATAAATGTCACTCACTGCCACTGTCACTTCTCGTGTATTTTTCGCATCATCCATTGCTTAACAGTCATTTATGAAGTGTCTCCTGATGTACCAGATATCCATTTGGAATATATTGTCTGCCTGATAGCTCCAAGGAGAATTTAATAAACCAAAAGAAAGTGAAAAATGAACTGGCTGAAGTCACTGGCAAGTTTTTGCAAAAGGGAAACAGTCTCACAATGGCATGGAGGTGTTCAAGCCCCCCCAACCCCCAAAGCCTCATTTCAGCCTCAAGAAGGAGGCAGACACAACAAGAGTCCATTTATTAACCTTGAAATGGCAACTTACTTTTTACAGGAAAAAAAGTCTTAAAATGCTTATTACTATATTAGGTTCATATTTAAGAACTAATGATAGTTACAATGGTAGGCTACACTTACCTTAATTGTGATTTAGTGCATCGTAAAAAAATCGTGAATAAGAATTCTTGACGTTGCTTGTTGGTCCAGAGGTCAAACCAATGACTTATAAGAGCCACTCTTTCCTGAAAGAGCTGGAAGGAGGAAGGTGATATTTTGCTGTATAGTTCCATACATTCTTAGTTGCTAAGTAATTTTTAGACAACCTACTACCAACCCCATAGCTAATATTTGCACAGCATATTATAGTTCACAAAGCACCTTTATGAATCTCAGAGGGGTCTCTCCTTTCATCTTAAACTATTTTTATTCAGGGTCACAGGCAAGCCAGGGCTTGTGGGATGGGCCAGTGGGAAAGACTGGCAGGATGTAATTACAGAGAGGCCAAAGAGGGCCTCTAGAAAACAAAGAGGTAATGATTCCTGGCTCTTTTCTTTCTTTCTTCCCTTTTTTTTTTTTTAACCTAGGCTAATGTGGCCTAGGGGAACAGATTCCACACACTTCATCTTGAAAACACATACAGGCTCCTCTCACTTAATCGTGGAAAAAGGACCATTTGATGTAGATAGGCTTTTATTTACCCATAGCCCTGGATTTTCATAGCACCCACAAAACTGAAAGTTAATAACCATTGCACAATTCATTGTTAGTTGTGTCTCCAAGGAAGACACACACCACAGACCAGTGTCTCTGAAACAGGTTTCAGTCCAACTTCGCTCAACTAGACACATAGAAACTCACTATCTTTATCATAGACCTAAGCCCCAGCCCAGTCTAGTCCTCTTCTCCTGGGAGAGAACACATATGAGCTGAGAACCTGCTGTGCTTTCTCCACTAGGGGCTTGCCATTCAATGACTTCATCCTGAACTACCTTTCAAAAGGGAGAGAAATCCCAGGCCACAGGGAACCATACAGTAGGCACAGAAGGGAAGAGAGCACTAAAGAAACACAGAGAAAAATACATAAAATACCCCCCATCCCCAAGGCACCTTCCTCCCTTTTCTCCCCAACTACCTTAACCCTCGTGTGTTCTGAAGGCCCTGAAGGTCCAGAGTGGCAGATGTGAGCCTCCCATAAGGCAAGAGGCAGAGTCTGGGGTAAGAAGAGACTATCTTTTGGAACAGACAAAGCTAGACTTATTTTCATTTAAAGTGACTCAAAAGCTAAATTGTTCAGATAGTTTTTCTTTAAGAACTTGACTACATAAGACTTATTCTATCACAGCAGTGTTAACTTTACAAATTAAACTTTTTTTATTATTGGGTATGTAACTTACCTGTCTGTTTAAAGACTTGTTGCTAAAAGGTGTCCAGGCACTGAACCTTGTATGGAAGCTCTCCATTTCCAGGGTTTTCTGGGAAGAATCCCCAACTGACATCTCAGGAAATATTTTCTTCCACTTCTAGGAACTACAGATTCATTTTAATAGATGATAATTAAGATCACTTAGAAATATCCAACATAATAACATTGTCCCTACAGAGATTATATTGTAGTAATTCATTTATATATGTAATATATGGATGTACTATTCTTATATGCATGTATATGATACCAACATATACATGATAAACCATGCAAAGATACACAAAAGGTCCATGAATGCCAAATCATTGCAATTATTCTGTCCTTACCTACCTGTACCCAATTCTGAATCTTAACATGAGTCATTTTTTACTTAGTTGGGAAAATAGAAGGCTAATAAAAATGCTTCAGAAAAGTCTATTCAAGATTCAGAAATTTGCATATATTCATTATGCATTGCTGTATAACAGATTACTCTGAAATTCAACAACTTGAAACAACAAAAGTTTATTATCTCAAAAGTACGAGGGTCGAGAATCCAGGACCAGTATAGTGAGGCACTATATTAGTTTGCTGGGGTTGCCAAAACAAACTACTACAGACCAACAGACTGGCTGGCTTAAACCATAGACATTTATTTTCTCACAGTTCTGGAGGCTGGAAGTCCAAGATCCAAGTGTCATCCATGTTGGTGAGGGCTTTCTTCCTGCCTTATAGCCAGCCACCTTCTCTCAGTGTCCTCCCACTGCCTTTCTTCTGTGTGTTCCCAGAGACAGGGTTTTTTGTTTTCTCTTCTCCTTCTTGTAAGGACATCAGTCCCAATACATTAAGACCCTCCCCTTATGACCTCACTTAACCTTTGTGTCCTTCTTACAGCCCCCTATCTCTAAATACAGTCATGTTGGGGTTAGGACTTCAACACGTCAACTTTGGGGTGCACATTTCAGTGCATAGTAAGTTTCCATGTGTCAAGCTCTCTCAAAAGGCTGCAGTCAGGTGTTGGGCAGGACCGCAGTCTCCCCGAAGGCTCGAAGCTCTTTCACATGGTCTTTGGCAGGACTCGGATCCTCACAAGCTGTCGGATTGGAGCCTCCCTTGCCTTCCTTGCCACGTAGACCTCTCCATAGGGCAGTTCACATGGCAGCTGGCTTCCATTGATGTGACCCCATGAGAAAGTAAAGGACGACACACAGAGGAGAGCTACAGTCTCTTTATAACCTAATCTCAGAAGTGACATCCCATCACTTTTGCTATATTCTATTGGTTAAAGCAGGTCACTAGGTCCAGTCCACTCTTAAGGGGAGAGGACTATGTAAGAGCACTGTGGGGGAGAAAACATGGCTTTCTTCTACCTCTCCAGGTTCTTTGGCTGAGCTATGAATTAAACTGACATAATGCAACTTACCCTGAGGAAAAAAACATTTTAATTACATATATATGCACAGGAGTACACAAAAACATGAGACGCAGATAATTGAACTTACGTAGCATCCTAGCTATAAGAGGAATGGGGCCTTGGGGCTCCAGGGAGGTCGTGGTGACACAAGTTATAAGCGTTCTATATTATGCACAGAAAGTCTCTCAGGTAGTGAAAGTTGTCTTGGATCAGCCCTCAGAGGAGTAGGTGACCATCTGGACATGGGATCTCCAGGGAGCTCCTGCTCTACCTCTTGAGCCATTCAGCCAGCTCATCTTCCATTGGTGAGATTCCTGGGGAGGGGGTTCATTAAAGGTGACTTCTTTTTGGAGGGTTGTCTTTAAGCAGAAAAGGGGAGCTCAGAGAAAGCCTTGCATCTGCTGCTCCCCACGTGCTCTCAGCTCAAAATAACTAGTACGTAAAGTGTCACATTTGGGGGTGACATTTCCTGAGCTCCTCAGCACGAATAGCAATGTGGCCATCACTGCTCACCCTGCAGGTCGCTTCCCTTTCTGGCCCCTATGCAGAACACACTTGCCTACTTTTCTTTTGTGGTGCTGGGGATGAACCCCCAGCCTCAGCCTCAAACATGCTAGGTGAGTGCTCTAACTGAGCTCGTCCACTTTTTAAAGGAAGCAACCCCAAAATTTCATCTCATAAATATCTCGAGTGAATTGACGTGAACGATTCCCAACAGTCTCCAGTTTCTCTGGGTCCAGACACCTGTGAACTACAAAGATCACTATCTGGCTCTTGTCCCTGTACACGATACCCGTAACAGTAAAGGCCAGTAGTGGTAAATCTTCCCATTTTTAAAGGAGTAGGATGACATATTCGAGGGCCCATCGCAATCCTGAAATCCTGCTCTAGGGGGCTGAAGCCCAGCCATGATTTTCAATCTCAAGTAAATGTCTTCTAGAACATGCCAGTGATTGCTTTGGCGGTGCCATTCTATCATGATGTATCTCAAGTTATTTGACTCTAAGCTACAATTGTTTAAAGATATTTCCTCACTTGTTTGGAAATTAACTGCAGGTTATTTTGAGCCTATCAAGCTTCCTTAGGAGAACCAAATCCTAAATTTCCCTTCCTTGAGGTTTTTTTCCCAACTGATAGGGTTTTCTGGGTGCCAGCTTGTTCCATTCAGAGATAGATACTAGCAATGGTGTTTCAACCATCCTCTTGACTTGGTCCTTGCCACGAGGCACAATTCTAAGCAGCATTTGTTGCTCAAAGGCCTTTTCGGGTTTTTTTCTTTACTAGGTGAAACTGTGAATCAATTACACCATTCAACCTTGTTAGTCTTTGAGTCTGAGACTCTCTTTTCCATTCATGCTTGCAAACCCACCAAATATTTTCTAAGCTTCTCTATTTCTGGTAGCACCTTTGCAAATGCAGCCAGCAGTCATACATTCATTCTAATAACAGTCATTTTCTACTTCTTTGTAGAAAGTACAAGTTCATTAGCTATATAGTATGCCCTTTAATCTGTTCCAGAATATAGCTTTGCAATTTTCTCCACTTCATAACATGGATTGCCATCTTTTCAGATCTCCAAGATAACAATTTCATGCCACTAGACTGAGGCTAATGTCAGATAATTTGGAACAAGTTTCTGTTGTTATGATAGAATCTTACTGCTGGACCCAATTTCTGTATCTACCAAACATTTAAGGAAAAAACAACACTAAACATGCAAAATTTTCCACAGAATTGGAGAAAGGGTGAATTATTCCCAACTATAACTTTGATACCAAACCCCACGAAGGACCTTACATGAAAGGAATACTAGTGTGGCACCAGGGGTGCACACCTGTAATCCTAGCTACTTGGAGGCTGAGATAAGGAGGATGGTAGTTTGAGGTTAACCCAGGCAAATAATTCTCAAGACCCCCAGCTCCAAAATAACCAGAGCAAAATGGACTAAAGGTGTGGCTCAAGCTGTAGATTACCTGCTTTGCAAGCATGATGCCTTGAGTTCAAATCCCAGTCCCATTAAAAAAAAGATGGGGCACAGAAAGGAATACTAAAGATTTGCCATAAATATAGATGCAAACACCAATATAAAAAGGATAATATATAACCACCAAGATAGACTTATTCTTGAAATGTAAATCTGATGTTAGGAAATAAAGTTAAATTTGACATTCAAATGTATTCATTATGGCATGTATTATGTTATTCCAATATATCGATTTTGATGTTACAAAATCAATGTACTTATTATCATTAACAAAACAGAGTTGGTGGAGTGGTTCAAATGGTAGAGCACCTGCCTAGCTAGCACGTGGCCCTGGGTTCAAACCCCAGTACTACTACCAAAAAAAAAAAATGAGAAAAGAAACTCATAATAATTTCAGTAGATATAGAACAATGTATTGATAAGCCTCAACACTCATTCATGAGAAAAAAATATTCTAACCAAAATAGGTGGAGGGGAATTTCCGAATCCAAACAAGGACATGTACAAGAAACCTATAGCAAGCATTAAACTAAAGAATGAAGAGTGGAAACTTCCTTCTGATTCTACTACCACAATCACTCAGCATTGTCTGGAGATTCTTTCCAATCAAGAAAAGAAAGGAAAATGTATAATAATTTTAAAGGAACAAATAAAATTGTCATTATTTATTAATGACATAGTTGTGAGTAGGAAATATCAAAGAATCTAGGTAAACTGACAGATTTAATGAATAAGTTTAGCAATATTGCCACACATAAAGTCAACATACAAAAAAATCAGTATTTCATATACTAACAAATATTTATTAAACAATAATGTTGCATTTGTAATAGCATTTAAAATCCAATTTAAATTTAAAAGGGGCAAGTATTTCATAGTCATAAAAATCTTATCAAGAGAAAACTTAAAAGATCTAAATAAGAGCAAACATATATAGAGACAAAGATTCCTCCAAATTAAACTATGACTCAGTATAATCTCAATCAAAATCCGAAAGGTGTAGGTGTGTGTGTGTTTGACAAACTGAATATAAAATGTATACAGAAGTGCAAAAAGGTCAAGAGCACCAAGGATGACTTCAAAAAGAACCCAGGGGCAGGACCCACTCTGCTTGTGTCAGGACTTACTTACTTGCTAGTGAAATCAGACTATGAAATATTGGCATAGTAACAAACAAATAAGCCCACAGGGCAGATCAATGACAGGAGAAACAGACCCACCCGTGTACATGATCAGCTGACTTATAACAATGGTGTCCCTCAGAGTAGTGGGGCAAATTTGACTCCCCATGGCAATACATGGAGTTGGACAACTGCGCAGTTCAGCCCAGCTGACCCTCAGAACTGTGAGAAATAATAAACCACTACATTTTGAGAAAGTTTGGTATTCAGCAGTAACAAAGCACTGTACCTAGAGATACAATATTGTCATCACTTAACACATAAGGCTTTGACATCCAGACTAGGCAGCAAGCGCAAGTTGAAGCATGATGAGGAGACTGTTCGGTGGAATCCAGAAGATCAATTCATGGCTACGAAAGGTTGTGAATAAAGAAAGCTGACCTGCATAAGGGAGCAGCAGAAAGTTTATTAAACTGTAGCCTGCATCACTGTGCATGATAGGACTTGCACCAGTGAATATAGAACCTGAATAGAGAGGCCCCAAAAAAGTACAGAAAGTGCTGACTGGCTTCTACAGCTACGTATGATAAAGTCCAGTAAGAG